AACATGCCAAATTTGAGCTAACTCCTGCTCGGATCATTAGTTTAAAAAATATTAAACTTCAATAGTTTGAGTATTAAGTTGCTAAAATCTACAAAGGTTATGTATCAGCAGTTTCTATGAAGCTGTTTCTTATTACTCCTAAGGGTGAAGCTGAGTTAGGCTGACCTGTGATTGAACTCGGGCTCGGCTCGAGGAATAGTTAGCTAGCTTGTTTAAAAATTATTAATATCTAATACACTTGGCAAAATATTCGCATTCGATAGTTGGAGAGCAAAGTTGTAAAAAGTCTATAAAAAAATAAATTTCAATAGTTTGTATAAAGTGATTTTTTATTAGTTTTGAGAGTGTAAATGGGTTAAACTGATTCTTGAGTTAACTCGAACTCAGCCGGTGGAGCTTATCCGAGCACATACTCTTCTGCATCTATGTTCTGACAACGGATGCGAGACACTAGGGGTGATTTCTTTTTTTTTTTTCCTTTGCTCCATTCGATGTATCGCGTCCGTTGCCTAGCGTAACTGTACGTTTAGGCTCCGTAGGTGTTCGATAGTTAACTTTTTCGTTTAAAAATATTAATATCTAATAACTTTGGCAAATATTTGTATTCAATAGTTTGACTAAAAAGTTGTTAGAAGTCATTAAAAAATAAATTATTTTTCAGCTGCTTGTATAAAGTGTTATTTTATTATTTTTTAGGGTCTTGTAGCTGGGTTAAGCCGACCAGTGAGTTAATTCGAGCTCAACTTGATGGTCTTTATTACATGCCAAATTGGAGCCAGCTCTGACTCCCCTCCTTAGTTTAAAATATTAATGTTTAATAAGCTTAACAAATCTTAGTTTTCAATAATTTGAATATAAATTTGTTAAAATCTGTAAATATTATATTTGAGTTTTTTTGTGGAAAGTAATTTTTATTGTTTTTGTTTAATTTTTCTATTTTCCAAATATTTTATTTAATTATTTCTTAAATCTAAATTGATTTCTCCCTAATTCTTTGAATTAAAATCGAGTTCTATCCCAAAATTGTATCAAAATAGGAAAATATTTATTTAAAATTAAAATTCATTTAACACAAATTTCAAAAAAATTAAAAAAGAAATAAAAAAAAACAACGCCATATTTAATAACGTTTTTTTCATAAAACCCTAAACCAGGCTTAAAATAACCAATAATAATCTCTTATAATTAATGCTAAATTCCTTCTTAACATTAATATTTTAATGTTTAAATTAATGTTTTAAAATAAGAATTGTTTAAATTTCGGAAAGTTAAAATAAAAGAAATAAAAAAAGCAACATAATTAATTGTTTAAAATTCAAAAAATATATTCTTCTCTTAAACAAAATAATAAATCACTCAACATTAATGGTTAAGAAAATCTTCATCATAATTTTAGCTGAATACTCTTTTCGCTCAAAACCCGCGGCAAAGAATTTATGCATTATCTTACACATTACCATATGATGCACTTATCAACATTCTTTTATGATTTTTGTGTTTACCAAATATTATATTCTTAAAAAATATAAAAAAATTATATACACATATATACACTTTTTTTTTTTTAAGGAATGACCCAATGCTATTAGACGAGCCCCGATCATACCTAGGTGTGTTAAATATTCGAATATCACACCCTACACATGAGTGGATTCGAACCCGTGACCTGAGGGTACTTACGACCTTCAAAGAAGCTGCTCTACCAACAGATCAATGTATGAGCACAAATTATACACACATATATATACATACAAATCATTATTTTTATAATTATTAAATTTTTCTTTATATTTATTTTGCTCGAAAAGAAAAAAAAAAAAAACTCATACAAAGCTAACAAAATAGCAAGCAAAAACAATGCAAGAAACAAAAAATAAGAACCTTTTTTGCGTTGTGAAGCGGTAGAGGGGTAACGATCGGACGGCGTCAGCCTCGTCCCAAAGATCCGAACACCATGATTTTGACACGTACGTGAATTATGACCGTCGAGATTACAATGAGAGCATTTTTTTCTCATCTTCTAATTCTCTTCCGCTTCCTCTTCGTCTATCTTTATCTCTACTCTGCAACTCAAATAAGCATGAAAGGGGCATTATATCATGTATATATAGAAAGAGAAAATTCTGTTGTTTATTTAAATTTTTTTTTTTCAAAAAAATTTGAAAAGATTGCTATAAGTGTTATTTTTTATTAAGATAAATTATAATTTGATTTAGGATCAAAAGATATATTTTCTTTTTTACTCAAAATCCCAAAAAGGATGCAGTTCTCCATATTTAGATAATATTAATCCTGCTATATATATATATATATATATATCTTTAAATTTTCGAAATTTCCATTTTATTCTGAGCTTCTGCTAAATTAAAATTTATACAAATTTAAGAAATAATCCAATTCAAATATTATATATATAATATTTGAATTGGATTATTTCTTAAATTTGTATAAATTTTAATTTAGCAGAAGCTCAGAATAAAATGGAAATTTCGAAAATTTAAAGAGCCACCGATCAGAATGTTAATTAAATCTAATCAAGAATAAATTACATCCAATTTGAAAAATTTTTATGTCATAATAATCTCTAATGAAGATAATTTGGGATATTTTTAAAATTCGATTTCATAATTAGGCGTATATTTTATATTAACGGTTAGGATTTTATGGAAAGAAATTTTTGCACGTATTTTGATGGATTCTTAAAAGTTATTTTTAATATCACCAGTTTTTTATGGACTCGAAGTAGATTGGTATATTCTAATAATATTTTTTCAGCTGTTTTATAATTACAATTAGGGCTGTCAATATAGCTCCTTGTTCGCGAACAACTCGTTAAGAAGCTCGTCTTCGACTCATTTGTTAAGTTAACGAGCCGATTTGTTCGTTTGTGTTCGCCTCATTTTGGTTCGAAATACTACTAATCAACTATATATATATATATCTTTGATGAGTAGTATTTTCTTAAAAAATAATTGACTACAAGGTTACAAAGATTTATAATCAATTAAAACTATTAATAAAAAAATAGAATAAAATTATTAAATTAGATTCAAATGATGCTTCAAATCTTGCCTCAATCCTTAACATCTTATGGCTACATGACTAGGGTTGTCAAAGCTACTCTTTGATCGTGAACGGCTCGTGTTCAGCTCGTTAAGCAAACTAGCCGAACACGAGTTGAACCTGGGCTCACTCGTGTTTGGCTCGTTTACGCCCCTAATTACAATGACAAGATTGCTAAGCTCGGTACGTACAAAATTATAAACCAATTAGTGATAATAGAGTTCATTGTTAGGTAACAAATTAGTTACTCTAAAATAGTTTTTTATTTTTTTTACTAATAATTTTGAATTTGAAAGCTCTTAAACATTAATTAATATTAGGTATATGTTGAGTTAAACTATAAAAATAATCCATCTCATCGATCTTATCAGTTAACTATGGTAAATATTAAATGTTTATGCTAGATATGTAACTACATAGGAATTAAGTGGCATGCATGCAAATCTCTATTATTTTTTGTTAATATTATTAAGAGACAAATTTAATGAATGGGAGCAGATTGTAATAATAAACCTCTAAAATTTTAATTAACTTTACTTAAAAAATATGTAAAATCACCGGATCTCGACTCCGCAGGAGTTGTTTGAAGTAGGGCTGTAAAAAAAAGCTCGTTGTTCGCGAATAGTTTGTGTTCGGCTCGTCGGGGAGTTTGTGTTTGATTTTTTAAATAAGCAAACGAGACAGAACACGAACAATTTTTTTTTTTTCGTTTGGTTTATAAACGAACCAAACATAAACAATGATTTGTTCAATCGTGTTCGAATCATTATTGTTCAAAATATAAAGTAAATTAAAATAATAATATAAAAAAAGTTTGCATATTTTAAAAATAAATAGACAGCATATATATTTGATTTTTTTTTAAACATATTTCTATATGATAATTATTGTTGGATTGGATAAGTTCAGAAAAAAATTTGGGTCGGATATCTTGGCTCAAATTTAATTTCAATAAATTCTATATCAATCATATTCATTTCTAAACGAATAAAAGTTGTGATATGATAAATTTGTGTGATATAAATGTAAAAAATAAAAATTAGGTATTATATTTGCGGATACATAGGAGCCGGGCGCAATGTCCCCATATTGAAATGAGGACTAACACTAACCTAATATTAGGGTTTGCCCCACCAGCTAGCCGCTAGGGGTGTAAACGAGCCAAACACGGCAGCTCGTGTTTGTCTCGTTTATATTACGAGCTCAAAAAGAGTGTTCATGTTCGACTCGTTTGTTTAACGAGTCAAACACGAGCTGTTCACGAAGAAAGAGTCGTTTTGACAACCCTAATCACGTGGTCATAATATGCTAAGGTTTGGAGCAAAATTTATTAATTATTGTTTATATTAAAACATCATTTTAATCTAATTTAATTATTTTCATTTTATTTTCTTAATTAACTATTTTAATTGATTATAAATCCTTGTAGCCAAAACGAACCGAACACGAACTAATAATTTTTTGTTTGTGTTGTTCATGTTCGACCGTTAACTTAGCGAACAAGCCGAACATGAGCTTCTTAAAGCTGAACAAGAGTTGTTCGCGAACATTTTGACAGCTTCAGCCACAACCAAATAAAATAATAAAATAATGTGAGTCATAAAACAAGGCTACATGGAATATGATTGTGTTCTAATTTTTACAAAATATTTTATTTGTTTAAGTTTTACTTACAGGCCTACATATTCTTTAATAAACTTATTAATTTTAGGGGTAAATATGTAATTATTAAAGAGTTAGGGGCGTTCTGTGACTAAATTCCCACAATATTTATGTTGACCAAAATAAATAAAAATAAAAAGTAGTATTCACGAACATACCACAAAATTCTTAAGTATTTAATAACATAATAACACTTACCACTTCAGTATCTATATTACTTATATTCTTATACCACATAAAAAAAATTAAATTATAGAATACACCTTCTTAAGCATAATCAAAATGAAGTTGATTTAAAAGCCGCATTTAGATGACAAATATGTAAATAAATGAAAATTGAATGCTAAGGCTATAATTCTGCTTTACTTGATTATATAATATGTAAATATTCTAAAATAAAATTCAAGTAACCATGATTCTTAAAGAAAAGTAAATAAATTAATAAATAAAGAAAAAAAAAATGGAGATGCGGGGTATCGATCCCCGTACCTCTCGCATGCTAAGCGAGCGCTCTACCATCTGAGCTACATCCCCATCTTCGTTTAATTGAAGTTAATTAAATAAATAAATAAATAAAGTATTTTAATAAATTTATATTATATTTCGAAGAAATGTACAAATTTATTTTGGCTTAATTATTTAGTGTTAAATAAAATCTGAACATGAATTGAAATAAATTAATTAAAGTCGAAAATCAATATCCTATTTGCAAATTTATTTTAATTGAAAAAAATAAAATCAGCGATTAGCAATGAACTTACTCGAACTGGGCTCATTTATAGCTCTAATGAGAGGCTATGTAAATTACGAGGCTCTTATAATGAGTAATTTAATAGACTATAAAATAAAATAAATGTCATTAACTTTTAGGTGTTGACCTCTAATCGGACGGTCAGAAAATTTTCAAATTTTCTATTGGAGTTTAATACAAAATTATAAATTCAATTATTGGTGTTCTAGGAACACTTGTTTAATGAATTAGGTAGAGCCATGCCTGCCAAAATGGAAAAATAAACTTGGTATGAAAATATGACTTCAATTTGATCTAAATATTAAACGGGTCATAAAGTGCGACTCAGACACGACTTATATAGCTTTTGATATCGACATAATATTTATTTTGAAAAAAATAGGATCAATTTCGAGGTAATATTGGGTCAATTTCAAGTTAAGTTTAGGGTTAATTTATGGTTGGTGGATCAACACAAATTTGACCTGTAAAATTAAACGGGTTAGGATTCTTACTCATACCCCATGACTTCCTAAAAAATATATATATTCTAAATTTACTGCGGCATTAATAATTACAATAGTTTTTTTTTATAATTTGTCAAATAAGAAATTGAAACTCTATCTAATAATTTTTAAAAGTCTAAGAAATTTGTAAGTATAAAAAAAGAATACATTTTAATTTTGCACAAAATATCATATAAATTATAGAAAATTAGTTTCAAATACTAAAATATTGACACTATGCATCCAAATAACGTAATTTGTTCCCACAAAATCAAAATAAAAACAGTATTACAACAAAAAAAAAAAAAGAAAAGAAAATACGTAAGACTTAAATAAATTTTATTTTTATATAAATTACTCATTTCATTTACGCTCAACTTATGCCAATTACAGATGATGTTCTAATAAGTCTCCTTCATTCCAATTTGATAAGTAAACATGACCAAAACTCATTAATCATGAAACCCAAAAAAATTATAAAGTTCAAATTTTTATAAACTCTGCTTCAGCCTCCTTCATTTATGGCAATCTCTGAACCTGTAAGAGACTACTCAGTGAGAAACTGTAATAGGAGAAAGAAGCCCTTTTTCATTAGCTGCAGAGGACTCTGCATCTTCTGCTTCGCATCTCGCCGGAGAGGCACGGCTTTGCCCCTAATACACAGAAAGAATATGTTAAGAATCCTGACAAATATCTTTCATGAAAACAATTGAAATCGAATATACCATTAAAAGATCCTCCTTTCTTTTATCTTCCTCTTGTTGTCTCAGTGAACTAATCGTATCGAATCTCTGCAAATTTCATCCCAGAAAACAATCAAGCCATTAATGAGATGAACGAAATCGAGCAATCTCTCGTTTATGTGGCAGAAGAGTTGAAAAGGCAGGAATGGAGAAGGGGGGAAGGTTTTGAAGAGACGCACCAGTAGAGATCTGAGCTCGAAGAGATGGAGGAGGCTTTGGAGCTTCACCTCAAGCTCTATGTGTTCAAGCTCTCTCCTTTCAGCTTCTCTCGCTTCTTTCTCAAGAACTAGGTCTTTATCTCTCAGTATTGTCTCTGTCTTCTCCCTCTCCAATCTCAGTCTCTCTTTCAGCCGCCGCGCTGCTCCAAGTTCCTCTGCCAAAGATAACGCATCTGCGGGTGGAAGGAAATCACCGGACGCCATTGCTGGTAATGGTAATGCGGTGGTGATTTCAGTGTTCTCTTTGCTGCCGAGCACTGCTGTCTTTAGCTTAAAGGATGGGATTTCGTTCGATGAAGTTGGCTTCGATGGGAGCTCTATGACTGGATTCGCCGGAGTGTTTCTAGGTTGGAGTGGCTTCCGCCGGAGAGTTGCAGGGTTTCCGGTGATCTGGGTATCCATCTGGTGGGTTGGATTTAAAGAGATGGGTATAGCTTGTTATAGTTTTAGTGAGACGGAGAGAGAGAGAGAGAGAGAGAGAGAGTTAAGAAGTGAGGGGGACTGTATTTGAATTTGAGACGCAACGGCTATGTGGAATCTGAATGGGGAAGAAAAAGTGAAGATGAGAACAATAGATTTCAGAAAGATGAAAATGACGAATGTACCCCTTGTCGGTCGTCGGTGGACGTCAATTTGTTTCATTTATTGGTCTGTAACTCTTTATATCGATGTGTACTTTTGAAGGGCACATTTGCAAGCTCTGAGTTTTTTATGTAAACAGGATTTCTTAAAACATGACATTTTTTTTCAATCATATTTTATTGAAAGTTTAAATTAATATGCTTGATTTTTTTTTTTTGAGAAGATTTAAAGACTTAAATTTAATCTTAATTTTTAATTATTGTCTAATATGGATGAATTTAATATGATTACTAATGATTCATATTCTCAATATGCTTCTCGTTATCTGACTCAATTCTCATGCATTTATGTCTAACTTATAAAGATCAATTTTTTTTCATATATATCACCTTAAGTGCAAATGAAAATCTGCATTTTATTTTTAAAAACTTAAAAGTAGTGTATACCTAGATAAAGATCATAAAACCTAATGAGGTTTTTTTGAAGATATCTCATAGGGATTAACAAGTCTTGCGGGCTTCGGTTGCCCATATCCGAAGGCTAAGTTGTTTTCAAGCTAAGAATGTGGGATTAAAAAATTCATTACGGCTCTCTGTGGACTCTCTGCATTTTATATTAGTTTGTTGAGAGAGGCTTTGAGGGTTGAATTTCAAAATACATATTGGATTGTAGAAAAGACGCAACCTCCGGATTTCACCCTCATTTAAGAAGGATTTTTTGATATAGGGTTTAAGGTTTCCCGTAGGTGCAAGCCTCAATGGTTAATTACTCATCCCGATAAGGGGAGAGTACTTTCAATAAAGATTAGTCATTAGAACAACAACAACAACAACAAAGCCTTAATCCCACTACGTGTGGTCGGCTACATGAATCTTTTTTCTCCATTGCATCATATTTAGTGTCAAATTTTTATTTGGTTCTAGTAAATTAAGATCATTTTTTATACAATAAGCCCAAGTCCTCAATAAGCCCAAGTCCCCAAGTCCTCCTAGGTCTACCTCTGCCCTTCTTAACACAAGTCAAATCTAAAACATATACTCTCCTAATCGGATCATCAGATGGTTTACGTTTAATGCAACCACACCATCTATGATGACTTTTTTCTAATTTTGTCCGTCATTTGGTAGAAACCACACGGCTATAGGGCTTTGATCGTAACCGCTATTTTGTGTCATTCGGCGGCAGGACCATGAGAATAGAGGAATCGGGCCACACCCTTACTCGACAAACTGTTGTGGAGGGTTGATGAATTTTGCTTTTACTTTTTAATGATTGAATTTTATCTTAAATATTTGTTTCGTTTGAAAATATTGCTTTAAAAGATTGACTCATTCGGTTAAAAACTTCAGATCTACACTGTTATGTATGGAAACTGGTCCACTATTGAAATTGACATTTTTTTATGTTTGACAGTAAATTGGAATTGATGCTTGAAATTAATTGCTCTTAATTCCTTTTATGATTTGCTCCAGAAGAGAAAATGAAATAATTAATGAAATTCATTAATTATTTGATTAATTCATTAATGAGATTAATGACATGATGAAATTAATAAATAGACACGCCACTACGCCAGCTCCCCTTGTTATCTCTCCTCGACATTAGTAGCTTTCTAGCTTCTTCTTCTGGTGTGCTTCGGCTTGAAGCTCTCGGGTAGAGAGAGAATGAGAGGAGGAGAGGAGAGAGAAAGGGGTAGAGAGAAAGAATGCTTTCTTGTAATCGTCAAGGTGATCGACGAGTGTAATTCCTCGAGCAAATAAAATCTTATGCAACTCCATCAAAGTAGGTAATTTGCCGAACCACATAAATCTGTGTGTTTCTGTTGTGTTTTTCTATTTTGTGAATTTCTCATTCTAATTTTCATTTTATTGTCATTGTTTTTCATAACATACACGATAATCATCATCATATTGAAACATTTAATATCTTTATATTTGAATGAGAAACATTTAGTTTTGTTAGTTTAAGCTTATTAAAGTATAAATCATGTCGACTTCAATCTTTATAGTTAGGAGGATCGAACTATGTGATTTGGACATGTAAATTTTAATCTTTAGAATATGAACATATATTTCAAAATTACTACTCGTCAACTCCAGTCCTTGTGAGAAGGAGGATCAGACTAGTTGGGTGTTGATGCACCAAAATAACATGTTGTTTTAAGTATACATTTAAGTTTATTTTTTGTGATATTGCACTTTAAAGTAGAGTGGTTTCATGTTTTTGTTGCATGTATATCAATTTTAGACATTTTGAGCAAAAGTAGCAAAATAAACGAAATTTGGAGCCAAAACAACGAATTTTAGGATTCTGACGCCTGATGCGTCAGATTGGCGCCAGAAGTGTCATTTGACAAAGAGCTGGTGCTAGATGCGTCAAATTTGGCGTTTGAAGCGCCAAAACTCTGAACAGCGCGGTCTTAAGCAAATTTGTGCCTAAAGTGCTAGAACCGGCGCCAGATGCGCCAGAGACAAATTTTTGCTGATTAAGGCTGTTCAGGACGAATTTTGTGCAAATTTTGAAAGGGACACTTGTTCTAAACACCAATTGGAGTGATTCAATGCATGATTCAATGCATCTAAACACTTTGAAATATTCTTTGATAGGAGTGATTCAATGCATCTAGACACTTTGAAATATTCTTTGATAAAGAGATGCTTTTGGATTAATGGAAATGTCTTTTGAATTTAAAATGGTTGACTTTTGGATAGAATTTAAGAGGGAATTTGGAACTCTTTTCGAAGGAATGCAGCTTTTAATAAAAGAGAGGGAAGTCTAGGGCCTGAAGAGGTATGTAAAAGAGGGGCTGAAGAGAGAGAGAGTGGCGTGAGATAGAGAGAGAGAAAGTTAAGGGCTTGAAGATTTTCTTCAAGAATTGTTAGAGGAGATGAAATGTGAGAGATTTCTTCTTCATTACACTTTTAAGAGAAAATTAAGAGTGCTTGTAAAGAGGGAAATACTTGAAGAAAACTTCTAGGAATTTGCTTGGGAAGAATTATGAGATAAGTTGTGTATTTTATTTCTTTTTTTTGTAAACATATTTTTATATATGAAATTCGTGTTTTGTTGTATCATTCTCATGAATTCTGAGTAGTCTTCTTTGTCCTTCTCCCTACTTTCAAATATGGTTTTGTGAATAATTGAATTTATTTTATACGATTTTAAATATTAATAATTTGTGATTATTTGAACTACGATCTTCATTTTCTTTTTGATCTGGTTAATAGAATTGTTAAAATGTGTTGAGAAATGTATGTCCGAAAGGGCTATGATTTCTACAACATATAACCACATTTAATTTTATGGGGGAGGATGTGATCCATGGAGTTGAGTGCAAATAAATAGAGAAATAAACTTTATTGGATGCAGAGTTAAAGATTTTAAGGTGATAGATTAAAATCTCCAATTTAGTCAAGTTGATTAAAAACTAATGCGAGATTGTTAGCCCTCAAGTGAGTGAGTAATGTGAGGTCTGGAGTGGTAGCCGGTGTCCTCCTAGCCTAACTATATAATTAGGGACCAAACTCTGATTAGTAAATGTTTTTTATGCACTCAGAAGAGAGTAAAAAATATAATTGCTCTTATTTGACACAAAACAAGTTATAGATATTTTTTTTTCAAATGATTTTAATTTCTTCACAATCCATATACTCATTGTAGAGGGGAAAGGTGTTTTCTTAAATTTGAACTCTTCGTCACAAAAACTTGGTTTCGTTTTCGTAAGTTTGCTTTTGAAAGTTTAGTAATTAGTTTAATTAACTTTGTCTTTTACTGCATTTTATTTAGCATTCACTATATTACTTTATATTAGAATTTCGAACTTCACTTTCGTATTTTAAAATTTTTGTTTACATTAAAATCTTAAGAATTTACTTGTAGACATTTCCAACTTCTTTGTGGGATCAATATCTATGACTCCATTAAAGTTCTTTATTACTTAAGCGATACATATACTTGCGTTATTTTTAGGGGATTTGTCAGTTTAGGGGATTTGTTTTTTAGGGGATTTGTCAGTTTAAAGATTTTTAAAAGAAAAAATTATTTTCACTAAAGTTATTTTTGTTAGGATTACTAATGTATATATCGTTTGTACTTTGTAATATTGAAAAATATTTGAAAAATTAACACACTAAATTCACCCGCATCAGGCGTGACTCACAACCCTATCCTATAGACAAGGTTTCTCATTTAGCCCGCGCAGCATTCTCGGCCATTATCTTTATAATATTGTTTGAACTCAAGAACAATATAAAACCCTACATGCTATATAAATATTCAAGAATTAGTAATATTTTGATGTGACATGAATGATTTGGGTGCTATAAATATAAAAAAAATGAAGTTTTGATGTTGGATATGTAAATACATACAAATTAGTCGGTATGTGCGCAAATGCCCTCACCTTTTTATGTGGAGAAAAATTTTTCTACAAAATTCTTATAAATTTCTAACCTACCATCACCTTTTCAACACTTTTTCCCACTTATTTGTTGCCCTCTGTCTTTGGCAACTATATTATCTATTCAACCAAACAATCTACATAAGTCTGTGTCTCACTAAGGATAAAGTATTGCATACGGATGCATGCGGTGTCGATCGGACACCCTGATTGTAGATCGCAGTAATCTACGGTCCCAAACAATCTACATAAGTCTGTGTCTCACTAAGGAAAAATATTGCATACGGATGCATGCGGTGTCCGATCGGACACCCTGATTGTAGATCACAGTAATCTACGGTTAGGATGTATTTCGATTTTTTGTTTAAATGTTTTTTTAAGTGGGGCTCACCGAAATACATCATGACCGTAAATCACTGTGATCTTCAATTAGGATCTGACACCGCATGCTTCTCTGCATACGGCGTCCATATACAATAATTTTTACTTTTATTAACCCGTGGATTATTACTATAATCCTTAAAGCATTTA